AATGTCCAACGGCTGCATCTTGCCATGCGGTCTCTGATGTTCGGCCTTGACCTTCCTGCAAGTCAAACACCGCTCGACGTACCATGCCACATCCCGCTTCATGCAGGGCCACCAGTAATCCGGACGAAGATCCCTATACATCTTCGTCGCCCCGGGATGAATAGAGAATCGGGACTTGTGCGCCTCCTTTCATCAAAATCTGACGCACGCCTCCGTGATATGGCACCCACACCCTACGGTGTAGTGTCAAAAGTCCTCGACCATCATAATCAAAGGACGAAACCTGACCCACCACACGCTCGCTCTTCTGATGCTCCTCCTTGATAGCCTCCTGTTGAGCCTCCCGAATCTGCTCCAATAAGGGAGTCACCACGGTCATCCTCAAGCAAACGTCCCTGATCGGCACCGTTTTTGCGGCTAAGCGCATCGGCCACCACATTGGCCTTCACCGGGTCGTAAAGGATCCCGCAATCATAATCCTTTACCACGTCCAACCACCGACGCTGCCTCATGTTCAGATTCGGCTGGTCCATGAGGTACCTCAAACTCTTGTGGTCCGTGTAGATGGTACACCGAACCCCGTAGAGGTAATGTCGCCAAATCTTGAGGGTAAAGACCACCGCCCCCAACTCCAAATCGTGCGTCGGGTAGTTCGCCTCGTGAGGCTTGAGCTGCCTTGAAGCGTAGGCAATGATATGCCCCCTCTGCATCAGAACTGCGCCCAACCCCGAAATGGACGCATCATAATAAACCACAAAATCCTCTACGCCCTCAGGCAGGGCTAGGATCAGCGCCTCACACAATTTCTGTCTCAGCATCTCAAACGCAACCTGCTGCTCGGGTCCCCACCGAAAGACCACGACTTTCTTCGTCAGTCGTGTCAGGGGTACGACTATCTTGGAGAAATCTTGGATAAATCTCCAATAGTAGCCCGCCAATCCTAGGAAGCTCCGAATCTCAGATGGAGACTTCGGGACCTCCCATCTCATCACGGCCTCGACCTTGGCCGGATCAACCAGAATCCCGTTCTGGTTGACGAGGTGTCCAAGAAATTGCACCTCGTGCAACCAAAACTCACACTTGGAGAACTTGGCATACAAGCTCTCCCTCCTCAGGGTCTCCAATACCTCCCTCAGATGCTCCTCGTGTTCCTCCTGAGTCTTGGAATAGACCAAGATATCATCGATAAAGACTATCACACACCGATCCAACATCGGTCCGCATACGCGGTTCATGAGGTCCGTGAACGCGGCAGGAGCATTGGTGAGCCCAAACGGCATCACCACGAACTCGTAATGACCATAGCGCGTCCGAAACGCGGTCTTCTGCATATCCTCCTCCCTGACCCTCATCTGATGATAACCCGAACACAAATCAATCTTGGAGAACCAAGATGCCCCCTGAAGCTGGTCAAATAAGTCATCAATCCTCGGAAGCGGGTAACGGTTCTTCACCGTTACCTTGTTCAGCTCCCGATAATCTATACACATCCGATGCGACCCGTCCTTCTTCCTTACAAACAGAATCGGGACTCCCCAGGGTGAACTGCTCGGACGAATAAATCCCTTGTCCAGCAGCTCCTGTAGCTGCGTAGACAACTCCTGCATCTCGGGAGGGGCCAACCGATACGGCGCCTTGGCTATCGGAGCCGCGCCAGGGACAAGGTCAATCCTGAACTCCACCTGTTGCTTCGGAGGTATCCCAGGAAGCTCCTCCGGGAAAACATCTGCAAAGTCTCGAACCACCGGAACCTCGCTCACTGTCGCCTTACCCGCCTCCCGGGTATCCATCACATATGCGACATATCCTGCGCATCCCTGCTGGAGGTAGCGCCTAGCCCTCGTAGCTGAACATACAGTGGGTCCACGCTGAGGCCTCTCTCCATGAATCACCAGCTCTCCCCCGCTTGGGGTCCTGGCCCGTACTAGCTGCTGCGCGCAATCTATCACCGCCCCATTGGGGCTCAGCCAATCCATGCCTATAATCACCTTGTTCCCACGCAATGGAATGGGAACCAAATCTACCAAATAGCGCTCCTCGAACAAACGCAGCACACAATCTCGGAATATCATCGATGCTCGCACCGATCGATCGTTAGCGATCTCCACTTCCAAAGGGCAATCTAACTTGCCCGATGGCTCATGAAAATTCTTGCTAAGTGCAAGGGAAACGAATGATCGGGATGCTCCTGAATCAAATAACACTTGAACTGGGAGGCCGTTCACATGGAACGATACTAAGGCATACATATACATATAGAGCACATATCAATAACATAACATCATCATAAAATATAATAAAAGGGAAGAATCATACCCATCACCACATCGGGTGCGGCGCGTGCCTCCTCGGCAGTTAACTGAAATGCCCGACTCCTCACCACTGGAGCCTCTGCCTTGCCCTGCCGACCATCCGTGATCCGCAGGGTCGTTCGAGCTGGCGCCTTCACTGGCGCTGCAACTGTCAACTGGGGGCAATTGGCCTTCTTGTGGCCCCTCTGGTTGCAGTGAAAACACAGCAACTCGGATGTCTGAATAGCTGAAACTGGAGCAGTACAATCCCTGCTAAAGTGCCCTGTCTTGCCGCACTTGTAGCAGCCTCCTGATCCCATCCTACATACCCCCACGTGCGTCCTGCCGCATTTCCCGCAGCGGCTCGATCCTGAATGACCTTTCGGCCTACCGTCTGATCCCTTGGGCTTCTTCCCCGAAGCCCCTCCTGCCTAACCGTCCTCTAGTTTCCGTTTCCGGATGTGCTCCAAATCTATCTCCCTCTCCCTAGCCCTGGCAATCATAGAGTCCAGGGTAGGGCAAGCCGAAAAGCTAACATGCTCCCGGATGTCAGCTCGTAGCATATCATGGTAACGAGTCCTCCTCATGTCCTCGTCACCGGCATACTGGGCACCAATAAAGCCCTCTCCCGGAACTTGGCGGTGATCTCCGCCACAGTCACCGTCGTCTGCCTCATGTCTAGAAACTCCCTAGCCAGCTGCTGAAGCTCGACCGCCGGTGCAAACTCTGCCCTGAACCTGGTCACAAAGTCCGACCAGGTCATTGCCTCGATAGCTGAGGCTCCCAACGAGTCACCCACTGACTCCCACCAATATGGATTTTAAGGCTCAAAGTGCACCAAAAGAGGTAGATCTAGGGCTTTCATGCAATATGACCCCATAAAGGCATTAGATCCAAGCTCCAGGGACTAAATCATGCCTAGATCTAAAGGCTAACCACTTATTACAACCCACAAAGCACAAACAAGCTTGGGGAAGAGCCCAAGGAGGACTCCTATGAAGCTAAAAGAGATTACAAGCTTGAAAACAGAGGGGAAACGAGCTATACCTCAAGGAAAACGTTGAGATGACACAAAGATGTCTGGTCTCCTTCTCCTCTTCTTGATCTACTCTTCTTTTTCCTCAAAATCTTCAAGAACACTCCAAAACACTTCAATCTCTCAAGGAAATAAGGGAATAAACGATGTTGGGAGTGCTGGGGGTGAATGGGGACGAGTTTGGGGCGGAATGAGGGTTTAAATAGGGTGCAAACGCTTGAAATTTATGGTTTCATCCAGCAGCAGTGACTCGCCGAGTCCGGGATATGGACTCACCGAGTCGCCAATTTAAACGTGTCCTGAGTCTCGTCCCTACTCGACGAGTCGGACCTTATGACTCGCCGAGTCCAAGGCTAAAATAGGGAAATACTCAAATAAAATTCACATACCGGAAAACAGGTGCTACAGAATATACATTACAGCCCCACCTAAGCTTATGTACTAAACCTCTAAAATATATCGTTTTGTCATGCTAAATATACCCGGTTTGATTTCACTTGGTAAATGTATCACCCTCCATAACATTTCTTTCTTTCATTATCGTTTTACCATCTTTGTTTTCTTTCTTCAATTATCGTTTATTACTTCACCTAAGTGAACATTACTAAACCCTAAACCCTAAATTTAAACCCTAAACCCCAAATCGAAACCCTAAACCTAAACCCTAACCCCTAAACCCTAACCCCTAAACCCTAAACCCTAAACCCTAAACCTAAACCTAAACCCTAAACCCTAAACCTTACTGTGTCTTTCTTGAATTTACATCTTGAAATATTAATTGTGAATCCATTAACTGTAATCTTTATATAGTAAAACAAATTATTTTCAAAAGTTTTAGTACGTAAGCTTAGGTGGGGCTGTAATGTATATTCCCTTTTCCCTATATATATATATATATATATATATATATATATATATATATATATATATATATATATATATATATATATATATATATATATATATAAGAATAAATTATAAGTTTCATTATGTTAGAACTCAAACCTTCTATATAAAATTAAAATTAAAAAAAAAAAAAAAAAAAAAAAAAAAAAGAGACGGTGGACTGTGTACACAACTAATTAATAAACGCTTAACAATGTAAGCTTGGAATGTAGTCACTCTAATTAAGATTCATCTAGAACTATGTAAGTGGATGTGTGGTATGCTTTGATGTTAAAACTTCTTCCCTGAAGGTTTGACAACAATGCAACAATACATCATTATGAGATAAGCTCTCAAAGGTTGCAAAAAGCACATGTAATTGAGAGAATATATACATCATATTCAAGCCATGGAATAGGCTAACTGAACAATCAAGAGTACCTCAAAAGTCAGATGTTTAACCCTGTAAAACCCTGATATATGAAGAATATGAATAAAGTTAGCAGCATATGCAAAGCATGGTAAAATCAAATATTAATTAGAATGAGAAGGTGGAATTTCTCATTTTCTGGTTCCACAAAAGGCATAACGAGGCTTACTGAAAATCACACTTGACAAACAAAACGCAACACTTTATAAAATGACCAATACACATGGCACAAATGAAACGGTGGTTTAATTAGTGGTCGATAACAATACACATTAGAAATTATAACTATTTTTTTGGTTTTCTTTTTAGTAAAGAGGACGGTAATTTTATTCATGATAAGTACTGAAATTTATTGATCCGTTTATGCTCACACTCTTAACATTTTAAAAAAGGACAAATACTTCAACTAAGTTTCGATAAAGAGCGACCGTTCCGGTGGCTGTTGTTTCTCATGTGGAAAGCAATAAGTTGGCTATGCAAGTTGAAGATTGAAGCTCTCATGATCACAGTGGTCGTTATCATCTTCGCTCGTTATTAGTTTCATCATTGAATCAAGTTCTGATGCATGAATAATCATGTTATTTTGATCACTAAATGGTGGCAGCATAGCCGGTGAAAATCCAAGCTCATTCAATAGTTGTGCAGGGTCAAAGCCAAGCTCATCGTCATCCCTCGGACAATGGTTGATAGGTGGCATGAGTGATTCTGGTGAAAAGGTAGGTTGAACACTCAAGTTCTCATGATGGTAGTTGCCGTTATATTGATCAGACAATGGCTCTATAGTGTTAAAACCAAGCTCTTCAGCCCTCGGACAATGGTTTAAAGGTGGCATGATTGAAGAAATCTGAATATTAGGAACAGTAGTTGGGTAGATTCGGTTATGTTCTTGATTCTGTTTGTAGTAGTAGTTCCAATCGTCACTTGATGGCAGCTTCATCATGGAATATGGGTTTGATGCTTGCATGATCAACTTATTCTGTTCATCACCCGATGTTGGCTCATGTCGCTCTAGTTTCTCTGGTGAAAAATAAGGTGGAAGAGTGAAGTTCTCCTGAGGGTAGCAGTCATTATTTTCATCACCTATGGGCTCTTCATGGTCAAGGCTAAGGTCATCGTAATCCCCTCCGCAAAGGTTTGAAGATGGCATCATGGAAGAACTGTCGGCATTAACCTCGGTAGTAGTAGTAGTAGTAGGGTAGATTGTGTAATTGTCTTTATTATGACTCTTGGAGATGTCCTTGAGCGATTCAACTTTGTTTTTAACATCATTGATTTTACTCTCCAACTTTAATGCAAGTTCTCGTAATTCCACTTCCTTATAGTTGTTTAGGAAATCAAACCACGTAGGGTATTTGGCTTCCAAGTTCTTCTTCTTGGCCATAGCGAGTTCTTCTTCAACCTTCATCGTCTTCTCTTTAAAGAAATCTGCTAAAGTATAATACCGAATTTTCCCTGCATCCATCATGCGATTTCGTTTGTAAAGTTCCATCAGACTGGTGAATTTATGAGGGTCAGGAGGGAAGATCTCTGGTTCTTGATGATCAGTACGGATGATCATGGATACATTCACGTCACAGAGGGTTGAGAGTTCGAGGGCTTTCTTGATGACGCCATTTTTTCTTGTTTGGAATGTGAGATTGCGTTTCTTGTTGTTGTTGATGTGTTCCATGGGTACCTTCCACCGACCCATGTCTTCGAATCTGTCAATAACAATACCATATACACATCAAATTAGACCAATGATTGAACCCATATAAGCCATTGATTATAAGAACTGTTTCAAAAACAGATTTAGCGAGAGTGGGAGAAATTACCTGCAGTAACTAAAACCTTAATTAATTAAGAGGATATGTAAATAGTTTCACCAAGGAAATGCTATGGATGTGAAAGATAAGAAATTTAGAATGAGCTCCAAGCCTCCACATATATATTGTAGAGTAGCATGCCAACTACGATCAGTTACGTGTCCCGCACTAATTCCGTATTTCTCACGCATCAAATTGTTTTAAAGTATATTGACCAATATACGTATCGATAAATTTGGTATACCGATCCTGGATATTGTGTACCATATCAAATATCGATAACACCATATTAAACACCGTTAGCACCATAAAACGTTGTGGTATGTGTCACACTGAAGGTGGCGATGATGATATTATAGAAATTGATTATCCAACAGATGAAATTGTTTAAAGAAAAATCATTATTTTGAAAATTGGACCAGACTAGCCGGTTTAACTGGGAAACGGTCAGGTTATTGGTTTTCTATAACCCAAAATTCGTTTGTAAATGAAACGCCAAAAATCAGTTGGTTCACTCTAAAATTAGTTCAACCGAACCGTTCAAAACTTAAATAACCGGTTAAGCCATGACAAAAAGTTAATATATATATATATATATATATATATATATATATATATATATATATATATATATATATATATATATATATATATATATATATTATGAAAGCCTCGTTATTTAAGAAGGCAATAGGGACCACAAGCTTCCGTTGTGAGGATCATCCCATTACTAGTTCTAAATGCATCTCTTCCCTTTCCAATTTATAAAAATTTGGTTGCCTCCAACTTTAGTTTAGCGGGCGAAATCGAATGCTTTTAATTCGATATTCCCGCAAAGTTATGAAGCTAGGTATGCTGAATTTTAACAAATGATCATAGGCTTAAGGTGATCAATATCAACAAGGGAAACATTAGATGACATCCTTATTATGGTCTCGAAGGACATCTACGACAATATAAGAGTCCTAGCATGATTGTGACCAATGATGTAAGTGGAAAGATATTGATCAACCTCTCTAAAACCTTCAAGAAACTTGAGGAATTAAAGGAAAGGTTTGAGGAGAAGTCTAAGCCTTCTTCTTTGAAATGGGGAAAGGCCCTTGTTGAAGTCAGATCCTTAGATAAAATCTCCAAGTCACCCTCTCCTCAAAGAACTCCAACTCCTCCTCCTCAGAAAACTCCAACTCCTCCTCCTCGCAAATCACAAACACCTCCTCCAAAGACTCAGACTCCTAATCCACTAATCTCTGAAAAAACTTTGCCTCGTAAAGAAACAAGTCTGATCTCTCTATGTTTTTAGATAAATCAAATGACTCTCCTACTATAAGTCAAAGAAAAGTTGATTGGAGAGCTGCTAAGTTAGCAGAAGAAGTCTAGAAAGCGTAAGGATTTAACATCTAAATATATGAATCTATGATTCAGACCTGGGGAAATCCCTTCCAAAACCTAGTGGACCAAGATTATGTCCCTCATTTGACCAATGTTGCAACTTAAACCGATATGTTATGGGATATTCCTCTATCTCCCAACACATGCTTCTGTCAAGTCTTCGAGGAATTCAATCAAAGAATTCTAGAGTCATGTAGATTGCTAATGGAATTTGAGAGATTTAATCAATTCCACAATAAACATGGAAAGAAGATAGAATACATATGGTCAAATGATGCTCCCGAAGCAGTCAAAACCTACAAACCCCAGCCATTCAAGAATGCAACCTTCTACTAGTACACTCTCATGCGTTTTGGAAAACAATACTATAGAACATAGGCAGACTTTCTATCAATTAATCCTAAAGAAATCTTTGTGGTTGCGAGGGTGTTCAACTTCAAAATTGAAAAGCATCAAAATATGATGCCAACATAAGAGAGAGCCTACAACTTTGTTAAGTCTCTTGTATGTGACTTTGCAATAATTGATGTTGAGATTCATTCAGTACTTGCAAATCAAGATGACCTCCTTTTATTAGAGTATCCAACAATGATCATTAAAGGAACTCAGTAAATGAATTGTGGGGCCACCAACTACCTTGATCTCGGTGTCATCTTCAGAACTGCCAAGGATACCAAAAAGAACTTCCTCCCCGCAAAATCATTTCATAGATACAACAAGAAACAGCTAGAAGACATCCTCAAGTTCACTGAAAAATCAAAATTCACTACTAATGAAGTGAAGTTTGAAATCACAAGAAGAATCAAAAGGGTGTTCATTGTAAGGAAGTTATGGTGATTGCTTATCAAGTTTTTCAAACTTGACAAGTGAAGCAGATTAGTTGCAAGGCCACTTAGGGGAAATTGTTGACATATGAAAGAGACCCTTGACAACTAAGGTGATTAGTGTGAAAGCAAAGACTTGGTTGCTTGATGAATCAAGTAGACGTTTAGTATTGACATGCCGAAGAGTTGCTTGTTTTGATGTATCGAAGAGTTTGTGAAGGCCGAAAATAATAAAGGAAACTTAGCAAAGAGTTAAATAGAGTTTGTCTTTTGTGATACCGAAGTATCATAGTAATGGTAACCTTTTCTAGAAAAAAAAAAGAGTGTTAGGTTGGTTTTACTAGTTCCATGAGTGGGAAGCATGGTTGTCTATATCAGTATTACTTTTATATTATCCAGTTGTAGACACGTACTATTTTTTCCTATAAATAGATGATCTTGTTGATCGATAGGAGTGTATCTGATCTTACTTTCGTTGTAATTTTCTCATTTTGAAATACAAGTCTCCTTATCTTCATTATCATATACTTTTTTGTTTATCATTTACTAACTTATGTTTGATTGCAAACCATGTTACGATTCAACAAGTATCTTTAAGCTTGCTTATGTTTATTAATGTATATTGCAGTTATGTTCCTTTATAATTCCGCAAATGTATTATTGTTGATCTATACTAAGATCCATGAGATTAACTTAAATTTTGCACCATAATCTCTTAATCATAAGTTCTTCTCTCAACACCATCATTTTCTGCATTTTGTCTGCGTCCATGCTGAAATTAGATGCATTGGAAGAAGACTCACTCCCTTCCTTTTTTCTTTGTCCCTACCCATTGGTCGCACAATTTCTTCTATCTTGAGTTTGTCGACCTCATTTAAACCTAGCCTGACATGAGCATCAGAAGAATTTGTGTATCCATTAGAGCTTGTTTTTTCTCTTTTTGATTGTGCTCCTCCTTGTATAAAGTTAGCTTCATATTTTTTCATCCTTGGACTAAGAGCTAACAATTTCCAATTCTCGTTAAACTTGAATATCTTTCCCGTTTGCTCATAAAACAAATGCAAAGCCTCTTGAAGTATTTATTATCTCCTTGACTGCTTCTCCTTTGGATTTTTAGGTTGTTTTACAACTCGTTCATGTTTGAAACACCTCTGCTATTTCTTGAAAGCTTGAATTAAGTTGGTTTGGTACGATACTCATCATCTTTATCCAACTCCTTGTGAAATCATTTAAGAATGTATAGAAAGAAATTTTCATGTGCTTGTGCATTTCCAAGCATTGAATCCTTTTAAATGTTTGCCCAATATTGTGTCAACACTAGCTCTTCTTGGGGAGTCCATACTTGAGACTTCTGCTTTGTCTTCTCTTGCGTTTATTGGTTTCCTTTTCGTGTGAGGGTGTAGAGTTTCCCATACAATTTTGTTGTTTCACTCATCATGGCTTTGGTTTTGTGGTTGAGAATCAAAGGGTAAAATTTAGCTTTGGGTTTGAGATTATTAGAGTGAGTTTGGCTTTGGGGTTGATTTGGTGAAAGTTGATCAAGAAAAGGACAAAGTTGTTGAACATATTAGGACTAACATCTGGTACTTGCATGGGATAGTATTGTCTATCATTTTGGTATTGAAATTGTGCAGGGGATTGAATGTGGGTGTCAAGTGGGGGACGATAAACCACTTGGGATGGATCAAAGGCGGAAATGTTTCGAGTTGGGTAGTTGAGCTTGAAACATTGGTTTTTCTTCTATCAGATTTTGGAGTTGGATTTTTAGGGTTCATTTTTTTAAGAAATGGAGAAGAAATGATAGAAGAATGTGTGATTTTGATGGTGAAAGAAATGTGGTATTTATAGGTTTATATGTATGTGTGTGTATGAATGTATATATTCAAATTCTAACCGTTAGCTGTTGGGAGGCCTTTTCCCATAAGGAAAAAAATTGAACAATCAGAAGAAGTGAAAGGGGACCGGGTAGCCACCCCTCACTCCGATCCCACACCCGGTGAACCGCATACCCAATATTGTGTGGTTGTGTGCGGTTGCCTTCCTCGCATTTGTTTCCCGCTACGCTTGCACTAGCCTAAGATTCATTCTTAGAGCATCCACAATGCAAGTATTATAAGAGGTGCATATGATGATGATTAGGATTAAATAAGAGTTGAATGGAGTGTGGGTGATGACATGAAGTAGAGTTGAATGATCATTGAATGATTCAATACAAGGAATAAAATGGCGATTAGGATTGAATAGTTGTTTAATGGGTTGTAGGTGATGTGGTATATATATTTAGTGGATGGTGTGGTGGATTGTGGATGCCAATTAGAATAACTTTTTTTGCTATGAAAATAACCCAGACGAGTCATAGACATAGAAAATTTTACAAGTATTTTTAAGGGTTTTATGCTGAAAATTCTCTCTATTTTAGGAAAAAAAAAATCAATAAAGTCTTAACTGTTTTCTTTAACATAAAATCTCAAATATTTAATTTTACATGATAATCTGTTATTTACTGATAAAATAAAAATAATTTTTTTTCATTAATTTGGAAAAAAAATATTAAATAATCGAGACTTTTCTATTAAAAAAATAATTTATGTCTTTATAAAAAAAATCTCAAAATAATGAAATTTTTCTACATAAATTACTATCTTTAATCAAAAGAAAATAGCACTCTTTATATGATTAGATTAATTTTAATTATTGATCCGGAAAATACTTTATATTAAGAAAATAAGAAATTAAATTACCTCATACCTTTTATGTCTACAATTATTTCTACTCAATAAAATTATGAAAAATAATCATTCAATTTAATTTTATTTGATATATTTCTAATATAGCATTAATGAGTTAGTTAAAAAAAATACGGAATGATGATATTTATCATAATTTTATTGAGTATGAATATTTTTAGAATTTTATTGAGTATAAATATTTGTAGGCATAAAAATAGGAGATAATTTAATTTCTCTTAAAAAAAATAGTTCATCTCATTTAATTTTAAGGGTAAATGTCACTGTAGCTCAACAAACTTATGACTTTTGTTTTAAATGGTCACTGAATTTTTTTTCTGCATCGTGACTCCTTAAACTTTCAAATTAT